AGTTAAGTATTGTTTACTAATTCTGAACAATTGTTTACTAATCTTGAACATTGTTTACTAATCCTGAACAATTGTTTACTAATCCTGAACAATTGTTTACCAATCCTGAACATTGTTTACTAATCCTGAACAATTGTTTACTAATCCTGAACATTATTTACTAATCCTGAACAATTGTTTACTAATCCTGAACAATTGTTTACTAATCCTGAACAATTGTTTACTAATCCTGAACTGCTTATTAATTCTGAAGAAGTTTACTAATCTTGATGTTGCTTATACTATCAGAAGCGAGAATAAACGAATATAGTTTAAAGGCAGAAGAGATTTCTTGAATCAAGCTGCTCAATGGTAAATGGTGACGCCGAAAGGACTCGAATGGCCACGAGTCATTTGATACTCTGAAAGAACAGAATCTTTTGATCTTTATTAGCTGCATTGGGTCGGTGGCTCCCAGTCTTCAATGGGGCGTAAAAAGAAAGATTGACAATGATTTTGCCAAACGTCCGGCGCTCAGTTGCTAAAAAGAGGAAGATTCTTTCAGAATAAACGGATTATTCATTCTGCCCAATAAGAAACACAAAGCGCAACAGGGAGATGACAAAAACCTTTCCGGATCACTGCCGACGATCCTCTTGTTTGACGTTTCCAATTCGATTCCTGAGTTCCGATTATTCCCTTCTCATCTTATTCATCGATGACGTCCCCACAAACGGTTCTCGAAAGGACACCTTATTTCCAGATTAAGTTCCCGCAGTAATCCTATGGACCACAAAAGCTGGGCTTTGTATTTCTGTGTCAGTAACTAGTTTATATTTATTGACCTCTAGCCATGCGAAAGTTCAGTCGTAATCGATGTCTGTGCTTCTGAGCCCCACAGGCAAATGGTTACACCTGTCTTTGCTTCAAAATCCAGGTTGTCCATTGTTTCGAAACTAAAGCAGAAGGACAAATCAATGGCCCTTAGTAATCAAAGCATAGCTTATCCATTTTAAGCAATATTCCATTTAATATTGAAGAATATATTTGATGAACAGAAGAAGGTTACAAACTACTTTCAGATATATCCTGTTCTTAAATATTTTACTGTCCATTTCATTCCCCTATAGATATTTTCTTTGCTTACGTAAAATAGCATTTTATAAAAACATTTGAACATCAAGTCGTAAATTACGTATTAAAAAGTATTTTGCTTATGAAAATAAATGAATTAAAAATAGGAAATTAATAACCGAATTTACAATACATTACCTCCTGTTAAATCTTTCTTATTGTCAAGTAAAGTTTATAAAATACTGCGAAGACTGATGTAGAAATTAAAGAAATTAAGTAATATGAATATAGCGAATTCAGAAGTTTTTTTTTTTACCATTCTTTCCAACTCATTAAATTCCTACTATTAGTTCACACTATTAGTTCACACTTTCCCTCTATATTGTTCAAATTTTCAGTCGTTAACAAAATACTTTTCATTCATCCACTAAAGTTCAAATACATTTTTTTAAACTTGTAGTGGATGACACTTGATGTTAATACAGTTTTTTACATATTAAAAAATTTTTAAATTTTGAATTAAAAATTTTTTTTGTACTTTTCAAATTTTTCTTTGTTGACTTAAGTAGAAATTGACTTAAGTAATTATGTACCTAAGTAGGAATTATGTACTTTTTTTTGTCTTCTAGAATTTTGCACAGAGATGAAAATTACCATTTTAATAATATCTATATCTATACAGGAGAAAGTGTGTTTGTTTGTTTGTTAATAACCCAGTCTATAGCTATCGTCACCAAACTTTCTACAATTCTTTTCTGGGTCCTGAAAAAGGTCGACGTCCACTTTTTTTTAGAAAAAAGTAACTAAAATCAGTAATATTAATTAAAAACTCGGAAAAACGGTCATTTTTTCCCTGCTGGAGATGAAAATTTGCTTTATTTCAAAAACTGTTGCCACTGCTCGCTTTCAAATCGTAGAGTTTGTTAATAAAAATTTCGAAGTTTTACAATGAAATAAAAATAGCATTGCCAAACATTAAATACATTATTCTTGATTTAAAAAATTTGCGGGAAGCCATTTCGACCATTGTGGCTAACCTTTTTTAAAAAAAGAGTGCCACTATGTGAAAAGAAAAGTGTTATGGGTGCCACTTCTAACTTTTCCAACATATTAAAAATATGAAAAGATGAAAAATTGTTTATTCTAGGTGGATTATGGGATTTTCACGCAACTAGCCTATACTTTTAATTTAAGTATTAGTAGTGAACATTTAAAAAATAATATAATAAATAAAACAAACACACAAACAAGGATTTTGCTGTTAATACAATTTTTAAAGGTTCAATCAGTTAAGTTATGTACAAAATAAAAATTAATAATTCGAAGCATTTAGTTCTAAATAACTATTAAACAGTCAATATTTAATTAATATGGTTTCTGAATATTTATATTCAGAAACCATATTATGGCATTTAACAAATAGTTTTATTTGGTTTATTTGGTTAACTTGGTTTGTGCTTGGCGTGTTTTATTTTAAACTTGGTTTGTGCTTGGTGTGTTTTATTTTAAACTTGGTTTGTGTGTTTCTGTGCTTTTAACATCAGTTAGAATGGCCGTCCAGCAGTCAAATATGGCTGTCTAAGTAATATGGTAGTTCAGTATTAGAATAACTATACAACACACCGTTAATGATCCTTACAATACATAAAGACATATCTCTATTTTTCTTTTAGGAATAAATATCTGTGAATTATAAAAATGTATCAGAGGAACGAGTATGTTCTCTGACGATTTCGGGAAAAATTTGGCAGTGATTTTTAGGATTGTTAATGAAGTATTTTGTCTCTAGAATCTTGCAAAAGAAAATTTTAAAGAATTGAAGAAAAATTTTAAATTGCTGTAAACTACGATTTTTCTCAATGGACCGGAGACCGGTGCTTTATATTTTAAAAGTTTTTATAACAAATAACCTCTATTATTGTAGAAAAATCAAATTTGTGGGAAAAATACAGTACTATTTTTCTTATTATCAGCTGTCAAACACTTGGTGACGAAGATGATCTAGGAGTATCCGCAGATTATTATTGAACAAATTATCCTTTTTTCAGATTATCAAGATTGTTGCCATTGGTATTAATGTACGAACAGGTGTTAGAATGTGTTTAACATCTTATTGACTCTGCGGCTTTAGAATGTTTGGCATACTCCAACGTCCATATTGTATATATAACGTTTATATTTATAATAAAACTTTAATAACGCTATTTTAAAACATCAAAGAATGCATTATTCATTGCTTTATGCTGTAATAAATGTCACAAAGAGTTCATAAAATAGAATTTTGTCTTTATAATTCGCTTAATATTTATGCTAATGATACAGTTAATATTCACTAATAAGTTAAGTTATTATATCAATGAATTAAGTTATAATATCAATAAATCATTCAATATATATGAGCTTGATAATTTACATTTCATATTTGAAAAACAAAAGAATGGAAATAACAATCGGTGGCACTTTTTCTGATATGTAAGGTAATGAAATATTTTTCTTGTCAAACTGAAGGAATTTATTAAACAGAATAAAAGTGATGTTAGAGAGCTATATATGAGTTAATGTTGAATAGCTATTTATTTCTCTTGCCACTTAAAAAAAATTAACTTATTTTAATAAAGAGAAACTAATTTTAAATGATATTGCTATCTTACATATTATTTGATGTTGCTATCTTACATATTTATGACCACTGAAGTACAGGAATAAAAACTCTAAAATGAAAAAAAAAAAAAAAAAAGCATTCTCTGTGCACATTGCTTAGTAATTAAATATTGTATCGTGAAGCTGTAGAATTACGTTCATAATATGTATACTTTTTCTGCTTTTAGTTGCTTTTCATATCCTCAAAATAATAGACCTCATTGCTTTAATTTGATCTGCTTTATGTTAAAGTATCATGAAATAAAGTACTGAGGAATATACATTAAATTCTAGGAATTTATCACTGCAATACGAGTTCAGATTGCGCGTAGCAAATATCGCTGCATAATTTTCATTAACTGAAAATTAGATTTTAATGTTGAAAAGTATGGTTAATCTTCCATAAACGGGGTAAGTTGGCGTTAAACAATTTTGCCTTTCAAAATTCGGCGAACTTTTTTGGCGGCAATGAGAGCACTAAAATGTGATTTTTAAACGTAAACAGAACAGTAAGTTCTGCAGTAGTGAAACTCCGTTATTTTTTGTATTATAAGTAACAGAATAGTAAAATGAGATGATAATATAATAGATGAGTAAAATAAATTCCATCAGCTTTGCAAGTAAAAACATATCTATGTAATTCATGATAAAATAGTATGATGAATAATAAAATAATAAATTCTACAACACTTTCCTTGGACTCCAAAATTGTCACCAAGTAAATATATTCAAGTTCATTAACAACGGATGCATCATAAACTGACTAAAATATGCAAGTTACTATCGTCGTAGAATTCCAACACACTAAACAACTTTCGTTCAAAGCTTGATTCAAAGCTTCGATGAAAGTTCAAAGCTTCGATTGCCACATGCAAGAAACAAAACTAAAAAGAATAATTAACCGACCCAGAAAATATTAACTGCGTAAACGTAAATGAAAACATTCATAAATTATCAACATTACATCATCTGAAATCCAACATTCTCCCACCAACAACAGCTTAACCTCCTGCAAATATTAAACAGTAAAACTTTTAAAAACAAACAGAGTATTTCAAAATTAAATTAAAAAAAAAAATCTGGCTACACTAAACTCGCACTCATTGCAATCACTCAAATAAAGCTCTAGGTTTGCCATAGGAAAACATACAGCCGCAAACCACAACCAAATCAAAATCGCGCCAAGCTAAAAACTATCGCCAAGTTTGGCGCTCACCCCGATTACGGAAGATTAAGCAAAAGTATGAATAAATTAAGAATATTAAATAACACCACTAAAGAAAACATTATGGAAATAAATACCACTTACATTTTAATGCATGTGCGTCATATTGCATGCAAATTTACAAATATGCACAGCGATGAAATAAAATATAACAGTTTGTGTTCTCATGAAAGTCGATATTTTCCGAAGCGGAACGGGTAACAGAAAATTGACTTTCAAATGTTCATAAATAATTTTAGTCTTGCCTTCAAAATAATGATGATGATAATGGGATGTTAAAAATCCGTATTTATGCATAAATAGCAGAAGAAGCACAGATAATTTGAAACTGTTATATTCTTATCATAATTGTCCAGGCTTCATTTTAGAGTGAGCAGTAGCAGTCAATATTATGCACATGTGAAAAAATACAGTTAAGAGAAACTCATCCCAAAATGTAAACCTTTGTCATGATATGTTTCTGACAAAATTATTAATAAAATGAACAATCTTGCCACTCTGCAATTTTCGCATCATTTTTGGATTCTCTTTACATATCGTTTAAAATATCTCTTGGGGCAGTACATTTTTCTTTAAAAATGAAAACGGGACTTATTCAGCGAATCCGTTTGGGCTCTTTGTGTCAGGGGAAGAAAGATCTTGCGGAGAAGGATTGCCACATGTCGGCCAGCATTCCCCACCTTTTTTCTTACTGTCATCTGGGCCCGTGGAAGTACTGGTTGATAAAGAAGTCCCAAAAAAGTTCGGGTAACCCGGAGTAAATGTTGGAGCAATTCCAGGGAAAAACCCAGAATAAGTGGGCACGGTCAATAAACCGCGAGACCCTGGAGAAGAAGAATACGGTCTACGGAAAGGTAAGCCACCTGCAGTCATAGCCAAGTTAGAGGATGGTCCAGAAGAAAAAAAGTTGGGTGGAGTTGAAAATCCCGGTAAAGAAGCTGGTTCTCCAAGATGGTTGGTTTGACGCGGACTAGGTATTCTAGATAAAGGTGAAGCACTAGGACTAGCGGCCTCAGAAGAAGCATCATTCGTTGTCTTCTCTGCATCAGGCTCTTTCGTGCTCAGGAGATCATCTATGGCTTGAAGAACATCTCCTCCATTTCTCTGTAAAACTACATTCAGAATACTCCGGTTTTCTCTCGGAAACACTCGCGCTAAAATATCTATTGGTGATTTCTTTTTGTGCAAGTCAAAAGGTCGAATCTCACTCGCATGTGTCTGGCTTTCAACTGGAGAAGGGGCTCCATTTCGATGGTGAAGATCCAGTGGCTCTTGGGAACTCCATTCTGGTTTCCTGGTTTCCGCAGGTGGAGGACTGGAAGGATCTGGCTCTTTTGAAGGGCGATCGTCATCATCGTACGCTTCCGAGTCTGTTGTGGTTTCCTCTGCATCAGGCCGCCGTTTGAGTCCATCACTCTTCGGACTGACAGCAGTTTCAGTAGGCGATAGACGAGATCTCTTCCATTCTACTTTAAAAAAAAAACTCAGAATTAGAAAAAAACTTTAACAGCTTTATTACTTACCTTTGAATATCTCCCTGAATACCGCGACTTCATCTGGTCAATAAAGGTTTGCTTTTGTCATCTGCTTATGAATTGATATTCTAGTAAATATGCAAAGGCTAATACTAAGAAAATAAATAAAATTCAATTTATCAACAGATAAAAATATATTATAAATAGAGTTTTGAAACCTATTCTGAGAAATCATCGTCTATATTTGGGATTGTAATCTATATATATATAAAGAAGAAAGTATGTTTGCTTGTCTTCTAATAAATCAGTCACTACTATAGCCAAACGTTTTACGATTCTTTTCTGGGTTTTGGAAAATGTCAAATGTCCACATTTTTTCAAAAAAATAGTAGCTGAAATCAGAGATAGTAATTAAAAAACTCAGAAAAACATAATTTTTGCCCTCATTTTTCCGAGTGGCAACAGTCTCGCAAGCTGGAGATGAAAATCTGCTTTATTTCGAAAGTTGTTGCCACTAATCGCTTTCAAATCCTAGAGTTTCTTAATGAAAAATTTGTAAGTTTTACAATGAAATAAAAATAGCATTGCCAAACATTAAGTACATTATTCTCGATTCCAAAAATTCTTGGGAAGCCATTTCGGCTATTACCATCTTCGTGCGACTTTAATCAGCCGAAATATTAATTCAAAACTCAGAAAGCGCTAATTTTCCGAGTGGCAAATCTCGTGCGTTAGAGATAAAAATGCATTATTTCGAAAAATGCACTACCGCTCGATTTCAAAATCTAGAGTTCGTTAATCAAAAATTCGTAAGTTTTACATAGCCCATACATGTAAAGAAGAATGTCTGTTTGTGGGTGTGTTTGTTTACGTTATTTATTTCTGATACATTATGATACATTTTTTGCCACATTTAATCGTCTGAAATTCAATATAGGTGAAATATTGGATGGAACTTGAGCTTTTACAACCATTTGATTAGAAAGACGAAAATCATTAAAAAATGCGTGCCATTTCACTGATATAATGAGAGAGAATTAGCTTATTTTTCTATCGAAATAGCTTATATGGGTTCCATATCGCATCAGGATGAAAAATATATGGCTATGAATCGCATTTTTTGCATCGTTAGTAGAAAAGGATTACAGCGGTATCGTTCTCTCTGTTGTTAGATGCATTATTCTCAACTTAACTGATTGGCATAGAGTACTTCGCTAGTTTCTGATAAAGTTAAATGCGTTTGAAAGTCTAATTGTGTCTGTATATGGGACATCCGAAGTACAAAAAGGCATATGTATTACCATTAAAACACTCAGCAAAAGAGAAAAAAGTAATCAGAAAGTTTTGACATACAATTGTTTTGCTTATTTTAATTATGTAACAAAATAATCACTATTCGCTTTGCATCAACGCTTTCCATTGACTCGCACTTATCTCTTTTTTTTCCTCACACGATTTCAAACAGTGGGAATTACACTCTTTATTCTATCGCTAACTGAAATAGATTGGAATTTTTTTCGAAGAGGAGGTACTGTTGCTCGGTGATAAACTGAAATAAAAAATGAGGAACTGTTTTGTGTTAAATGCAAAAATGTCTCGTAAGGAGTATGGTGTCCGCCGATAACATCGCGGCAAAAACATCGCGGACGAAAACGTCGCGGAGAAAACAACGCAAGGCGAAAACGTCGTGGTACAAAATATCGTGGGAGAAAACATCGCAAAGAGAAAACATCGCAGTTCTAAAACATCGTGGTACAAAACATCGTCGTCGAAAATAATGCGGTTCAAAAACTTCGCAGTTTAAAAACATCGTCGTCGAAAATATCGTGGTAAAAAATAAAGTATCTACAAATCATCGCATGACAAATTCGCAGACATGCTTTTTTCAGGTTTTAATAATTGTAAAAGGATGTTCCCATAATGATTTGTGAGCGCAAGATGTAAAGAAGGATAATTTTTACTTTCACATTTTTTATTAACCAATAAATTTTTGCTGAAAAAGTAAGAACTAAACTTAAGCATAAAAAATTAAATGCAAATTATAGGTTATACTTTTCATGAAAAATTACCAGTAAAAACTTCATAAAATGATTTATTAATGGCATTTGTTAGTTAACTAAGTCAGTTTAAAATTCTATTAATTCTATACGTTGCATTAATTTTCTATGCTTAAGTTTCATTCTTATTTTCTCAGCAAAAATTTATTAGTTAATAAAAAGTATGAAAGTAAAAATTATCCTTCTTTACATCTTGCGATCACAAATCAATATGGGAATTACACTTATTAAAGCCTGAAAGAAGCACATCTGCAATGTTATCGTCATGCGATGATTTGTAGATACTTTATTTTTTACCACGATATTTTCGACGACGATGTTTTTGAATTGCGAAGTTTATGAACCGCTTAATTTTCGACGACGATGTTTTGTACCACGATGTTTTAGAACTGCGATCTTTTCTCTTTGCGATGTTTTCTCCCACGATATTTTGTACCACGACGTTTTTGCCTTGCGTTGTTTTCTCCGCGACGTTTTCGTCCGCGATGTTCTTGCCGCGATGTTTTCGGCTGTAACCAGGAGTATTGAATAGAGGAAGAACGAGCAAAGTTGTTTGCATTAACAGGTTCAACTAAAAAATCAACAGAACAGGATAGTAAAACCAATGATATCCCTGTAAGGGATTGAAAGAATATTATGCGAATGAAAAGCTGCACTGGAAATTCTTACTTAGATAAAAAATTAACAGACCCAATAAAAATAACAAAACATTAATTTCAATGGGGCAGTAATTTTATTTTACTCTTTGTTACGCAATATAATAACAATATCCATAGAACAAACAATAAATCAAATAATTTTTCTCTCCTAGATCTGTAGAAGTCATTTTGATACTCATTAAAATTAAAATCTTTGATACTTACTTTAAATACTTACATACTGCTGCATGAAGTGGAACAAAAGTTTCAGATTTAAGAAAAAAATATTTTTATGTTACATTTTACAAGATTTCAGGATTATTCGTTACAACATATCAGAAAAACTGCATTTTAAGTTTCGCATTTCATATGATTATACTAGATTATAAATCTAGGGGACTAGATTATTCAAGGGGACTAGATTATAAATCTAGTATATTCATATGAAATTATGAAATTATGCATTTTAAGTTTCGCATTTCATATGGTTTGCATTTTAAGTTTCGCATTTCATATGGTTTGCATTTTAAGTTTCGCATTTCATATGATTATACTAGATTATAAATCTAGGGGACTAGATTATAAATCTAGTATATTCATATGAAATTATGAAATTATGAAAATATGAAATGCGAAATAATCCTCTATTATAAGATATTCCTCCCTTCTTCTTAGCATGCCTTCGTGGTGTAATGGTCAGCACGCTCGGCGCGTATTCGAGAGGACCCGAGGTTGACCATTTTAAAATCTACTAGTTATTAGATACTGAAGAGCTCATTTAATGAAACGGAAGAACAAACATGTAAAGCATTGTTGCTCAGTTGCTTACTGCCGGTGTTTCATAGTCTCCTTGAATACAAAAAGTTTTCTATGATCTCGTTATATAAGTTATAAGGTATTTCTCCGACCTTCTTAGCATGCCTTCGGGGTGTAGTGGTCAGCACGCTCGGCGCGTATTCGAGAGGACCCGAGGTTAGAGTCCCGGCTAGGGCATTGCTCAATTTTCACATCTCCTGCTTCGAAATAATCTAATGTCTTTACAGTGACGTCCGAACTGAAAAAGGTGGTGGATGATGATTCTCCACACCCAGGATTTGGCGATTGAGTCCTCTAAAACCCCAGTCTCCCTTTAAAAGGGGAATTATATAAGGTATTTCTCCCGCTTTCTTGGCATGCCTTCGTAGTGTAGTGGTCAGCACGTTCGACGCGTATTCGAGAGGTTCGAGGTTCAAGTCCCGGCGAGGGCTTTGCTCATTTTTTATGTCTCCAGCTTAAAAAAAAAACACAATATCTCTACAATCAGGATTCCTTTATACTCTTGCTTCGAAACTGATTATACTGTTACGAATTTGGTATTTAAAAAGCTAATGTTAGTTCAATTAGAAATTAAATGGTTTTATTTCTCGCGCAGTGCAGCGCGTGACGAATATTAAAAGAAAGCTAAGCCGGAAAATTGAAAATACAAGAGCGCGTGCATTAAATAAATAAATATCTCTTTTTATTTCGAGAAAGTACTGGAAAATTCTAGCGCGTGATTTTAAAATCTTATAAAAGGAGGAAAACATCTCAGTTTGTAGTAGTTGCTTAGTTTGTTTTTGTTTAGAAAACTGCTCTTGTTGATTGTAGCGAATTCGCGGATTAGCGTTCTTTAGCTGTTTTTAATTGCGTTCTATTGGACATTTGAGTAGTTAAAAGATAACTACTGTGAGATATTGTAATACTGCATGATAATTTGAGAAAATTTAAGCATTTTTGTTGTGATAATAATAAATTTTTGTTCATTTTTCATCGGACTTGTGCATTCATTTCATAACGAACCCGTACGCACGCAACAATTTTTGGTGTCAGAAGTGGGATTTGAATGCCAATAACAAGAGCGATGGAAGAACAATTGAGACAGCTCATTAGTGCTTTTGCTGCATTCCAAGAAAAGATGGAAGCTGGCCAAGCATCATTTAAGGAAGAAATGAAATTGGGCCAGGAATCCGTTAAGGACGAAATGAAAGCCGTTCAAGCTGGTCAAGAAGAAATGAAAAGAGAAATTACTTGCATAATAGAAAATAAATTTGAAGCTATGGAAGGCAGAATTGACGCAGTTGAAAATAAAGTTGGACATATTGAAGAAAGAGTTTCTTCGGTGAAAGAAGAAATAGAAGAAAGAGTTTCTTCTGTAAAAGAACAAATTGATGAGAGAGTTTCTGCAGTTGCCAAAGAAATGGATACTTTAAAGAAATTCGTAGCGTCGGCAGGGAGCAGGAGTGATGATTTTAAATTCTTACCAATGCCTGCTCGTCCACCT